AGAGAGAGAGAATTTTTAATATTTACTTTTTAGTTCTCGGCGGACACAACATCTTTGTTGGTATGTGGTGCTGAGGATCGAACCCGGGTCGCACGCATGCCAGGCGAACGCGCTACCGCTTGAGCCACATCCCCAGCCCGCTATTCTTATTCCTTGTAGAAAAGGACAAAGTGTAGACATCTCAAGCTCCCACCCTTCAATGTACTTTCTCATTTGCTCAACACACATCTGAACACCAGGGTCTCTTAGGCATTGGGATGCAGAGATAATTAAATATCCCCCAAACAATAGGAATGGACTAGTATGTGTACAAATACAGCCACTAGCCTCACCTAGGGATGAGGTCTAGCTGAGGTTTGCAAGTGTCCCAGGAGCCCAGAGGATGGAGCAGTGGGCTCTGCCTGGACCTTGGAGAGGATAACAGCTGAGCTAGGCTTTGAGGAATGAATAGGGGGTTACTAGATGGAAAGAGCAAGAGGAAAACATTACAGGTTGAGGCAACAGAGAGAGAGAGCGAGGTAAGTAGCTCCAAGTGGTTGCAATCTGGAGTGTACATTCAGAAATGCACTTCAGCTAACATTTGCTAAGATCTGCTCAGTGCAGGAAATGCAAATGTGAGGAAGACCCAGAAGGAGCAGCTAGCATGGGAAGCTGGCTGTAACAGAGTTTGTATATATAAAGCTCTTTATCCTGTGCCTGGAACACAGCAAACACTGAATAATGTTTGTTATAATTATGCCTGTAGGATGAGCTGGCTTCCATCAGGGGAAGAAGGTGGTCTGCATTTCCAGATGGGTGAGACCTGCTAGCAGTAGAAACTCAATTGGATGAGTGCTAGAGGGTCTTGTCTTAAATCTATTGACTTTATATTCATTATACTTTTTTTTTTTTAAACAAGTGTGTGCCACTGCACCCAGCATTCCACTGTACTTTTGCTCTGTAATAGTTTCCATTTTCTTTTTTTTTATTGCAATTTTGGGATTGTAATACCCAGGACCTTATACATCCTAGTCAAGTGCTCTACCACTGAACTACATCCCCAGCCCTTTTTATTTTGAGACACGGTCTCAGTAAGTTGCCAAGGGTGTCCTCAAACTTGTCATCCTCCTGCCTCAGCCTCCCTAGCAGCTGGGATTACAGGCTTGCTCCACCAAGCCAGGCATAGTTCCAGTTTTAGGAACTATTTTATTCAATTCTCCATATCAGAGAATATGCAGATTGAAGGGTTCCTGCAGTAACTCCCCACACTTTGTTCTCAGAGAGGGGAGGTTCTGGTTCCCAAGTGTTGGCTCAGCCCTTTTCCTCTGCAGCCCCCAATGGCCAACCACAGGGCTGGGTGAGGGAGTCAGGATGGAGTGCCCCCTGCTGCACCCCTTCTGGCTTCTCCCCTGCTTAGTAGTCCTCAGGAGGGTCACTTGATTCTCCTTGTTCTGTTTGGCATCCATCCCCACATCCTCCATAAGCTTGGGGTGCCCCTTCCCCAAACAAAACAACACAACTGTCTTTGGAACCAACAGCCTTGCCTTCCTTGCTCTGGGCAGACCTCAACACCTCCCCTGTAGGAAGCAGTGGAGAGGAGGTGGAGGACAGGAGGTGGTAGGAGGGGAGGGGTGGTATTCTCTTCCCCAGGATTTAGGGCAAGGCACTCCTCTTCTTGATGCCCTGCCTCCTGGCTTCTGCCACTGCCCTCTTTCAGAGAATTTGCTCCCTGTTTATCTTGCTGCCTGCCTGCAAGGGCCATCTCTGCCCACTGGGGGCTGTCTGGCCACCCCCACCGGGAAAGCTGGCTAACCTACCTCAGCACACTAAGCAGCTCCCAGAGTGCAGGGAGAGCCTGTAACCGCAGCTGGCTCTGTTTTAAAAACACATTTCATAAAACATTTAAAAGTAATATCACATTACACAAAGTCCGAAACTAGAGAATGAAAAAGATCGCCCTGAATCCCTAATACAAGGTCTGTTTTCATTTTGTTGCATTTCCATAGCCTAGTAGAGGCTCCCAAATTATTCAAATATGGAATGAATTGTTAAAAGGCAACACCTATGGAGCATTTAACTATGTACCAGGAATTGTTCTAAGCATTTCATATTTATTGATCCATTTAATCTTTACAACATGAGGCATGCATTATGATTGTCATCATCTCCAATTTATAAAGGAAGTAACTGAAGCCCAGACAGGTTTTGTAAGTTGCCTAACATAACACAGCATTAACTAGAGGAACTGGGAATTGAACCTGGTGCCAGGATCTTACCAGCTCTAGTTTTAATTATTGTTTTTATTTTTTAGATTATGGTTTTTACTTTTATTTATAACTTTATGTTATTTATTTATTTAAAAAATCTTTATTTTATAGTTGCACACAGTACCTTTATTTCATTCAATTATTTTTTACGTGGTGCTAAGGATCGAACCCAGGGTCCCGCGCATGCGAGACAAGCACTCTACCGCTGAGCCACATCCTAACCCCTTTATTTTTTTTGTGTGTGGTGCTGAGGATCAAACTCAGTGCCTCACATGTGCTAGGCAGTGCTCTACCACTGAGCCACAACCCAGTCCTAATTTTGCTTATCTTGATCATCAATGTATATGCATGTGTAGAAAATCTTTTTATTATCTTTTTAAAAATAAAAAAATACAGAAAATAATATAAGGAACCTCATGTACTTATCACCTAGTTTCCATAATTATCACCTTATGATCTGTTTGTTTATTTCCCAGATTATTCTGGAGCCAATTCAGTTATTGTATTATTTCAACTACAAATAATTTACTATATATCTCTAAAAGATAAGGTGAATTTTTAAATTTAAAAACTCCTTTCTGCAGGACCATATCATGCCCTAAAATGTATAATTTATCATCAAATACCTAGTCAGCATTCAAATTCCCTTGATAGTTAAATAAAATCTTTTTTTTTTTTTATTTTTTTGTTTGTTTGAACCAGGATCCAAATAAGGCTTTTGGTTTATATACCATTTAATTTATTTTAATCTATAAGCCCCCCTTTAAACTTCCTATCTTATTTAAGAGAGTTTCCCTTTGCTAATTACATCTCTGGGAAATGTTTATGATATTCTCTATCCTTATTATTTTTTTTGGGGGGGGGAGTAGCGGGGATTGAACTCAGGGGCACTCAACCACTGAGCCACATCCCCAGCCCTATTTTGTATTTTATTTAGAGACCAGGTCTCACTGAGTTGCTTAGTGTCTTGCTTTTGCTGAGGCTGGCTTTGAATTCGCCATCCTCCTTTCTCAGCCTCCCCAGCTGCTAGAATTACAGATGTTTGCCACAGTACCTGACCCTTGTCTTTTCATATAACCTAGCAAACAATTTCTCATACTGCCAGAGTTTTCACAATCATATACTAAATGGCTTCATATCCATATAGTTGGACATACCATGACTTTTTTTTTTTTTTCCAGTGCTGGGGATCAGACCCACAGCTTGCACTTCCAGGCGAGCACTCTACCATTTAGCTACATCCCCAGCCTGACCATAACCTTTTCCTGGGTACTTAGGCTGCTTCCAGTCTCCCACTACTATAAATACTTCTGGAATGGACATCTTCACACATTGCATCTTTTCCTGTACATGCAATGGCTTCCTTAGAATGTGCTGCCAGAAGTGTGAACAATTTTTTCTTTCCAAGGCATGAACAACTTTTCAGATTCTTGGCACAGAGTGCCAATTGTTTGTCCAAGGGTTTGTGTGTTCCCTGGCACCACATAATAGTGCTGTCACTCATTCTTGAATGATGCTCAGGATGTTTGGTGAAGACACAGTAATTATAAGGGCAAAGAGTTAGAGGAGAAAGATGATGACAGGACTCTGGCTAAATAAAGCATAAAGTGATCCACAATATACCACAAAACCAGAGTGAGTCAGAATTCTGTTCATTCCCATTGTGAAAAAAAAAACCCTTGATAACAGGAGTTATTAATAGGCTATGACATGTGCAGTGATCTTTCCGTTGACTCTGCATTAGTCAGAGCCTTGTTGGAGATGGGGACTCTGTATGGTCATTGAACTTCACAGAGATATGAGGAAACTAGCAAAGATCTACAGTTGGAGGGACTTGATGGAGGATGGAAGAAACCCAGAAAAAAGTCAGAAAAGTCAAACAGGCTCACTTTGGACAGAACAGAGATATTGTTGTTGCCTCAAGGGCAGGCAAGTTTCTGTGAGGACAACTGTCTATAGCAGCATGAATATTAAGGAAAGGGCCTCCACCAACCAGGAGGCACTTCTGGGGACACAAGACAGTTTTTCACCATCTGGGCTGATTATTTAAATCCTGGGATGAGTACTCTTGGGCCATTGACCCTGGAAATATTTGAGGAGCTGCCAGTTCTGCAGCTTGATGCCCGCTTAGGTGCCTCTGGGGGTCCCACTCCAGCTTTGTTACAATTGCTTTCTAGCAGCCCCCTGAGAAGGTGTTGGTGATCTGAAGAAAGTGCTCCCCAGCTTTCCTGGGCCAGCCCTCTTCTTGTCCCCACACATTCAGTTCAGGGTGCATGTCTAGCCAGCCAGGTTGGCATGCCATGACATCATCTGATCCTGCTCTTCCAGCCCTGCTGAGCCGTGTGCACTTACAGAGGAGCTGGGTGGGGGAGTGGAAATTACCCAGACAAGGCCCTCTTGTTGCATGGAGAGTGGGAGTGACCCAGGAGACCTTAAGAACCTTTTATTTAGTTCAACTTCCTACAATATGATAGGTGTTTTACACACATTCTTTTGAATTCACACAACAACCTTGGAGGTAGGGTTTCATGAATATGGAAGTGGAGGTGAAGACAAATTAAGTAATTGCCTAGGATCACACTGCCGATAAAGGAATGCCTACACCATGTCTACCTGGCTGTAAAATCTGAGCCTTTGCCTTGAGAGCATGCAGACATGAAAATTGCAGACCACAGCTTCCCACCCAAAGCCACACAGGCTGACCCGAGACAGTAACTCAGGCTCCTAACTATTCATCAAAGAATCTTTCTATGACACGTGGCTTATTCTGATGCCTGAAGTGACCCAGGATGCAGCAGGGCTCAGGCCAGCCTGGATCAAATGTCACTTGTCAAGTAGGGAGGGTTTGGACAGGCTCTGCTCTCTGCCCTACAGACCCTTAACCCAGGCAAGAAATACGGCAGGGCAAAGGGCCGAGCTACTCAGTTTCTGGAGGGGTCCTTCTGGGGCCGGAGCACAGCAGTGAGGTGTAGTGGTAAAACCCCTGCCCGTGGGTTGGTCTTTCCCAACGGAGTTCTACTGCAAGTTACTTAAAGCTCTGGGTTTTCTCGTTAGAAAACTGGGGTAGGGAGCAGGACGTAAGGCGTACTACTGCAATCCCAGTTACCCGGGAGCCTGAGCTGGAGGACCGAAAGTTCGAGACCAGCCTGGGCAACTTGGGGAGTCTTTGTCTCAAAATAAATAAATAAATAAATAAATAAAAATAATAAGGGCTGGGGGTGTAGCTCAGTGGTAGAGCGCCCCTGAATTAAATTTCCAGTATTGTAAAAACAAAACAAAGCAAAATAAAAACGAGACAAGAGTAAATCACGCTTGAAGGGCGCAGGCCCAAAAGCTGGGGTCTTTACGCGCCGAACTAATACCATCTGATTTCACTCTAGCGTCGCCGAAAAACGTTCGGCGGTGCGGCCCTAGAGTGGCTGGAGCGGGAACGGGAACGGGAGCCAGAGAAAAACTACGATTCCCAGGAGGCACCGGGAGGCCGGCGCGCGGCGGTGACGTCGCGGGGGCCGGCGCGAGGCGCTGATTCGGCCGGAGCTGCCAGCGGGGTGCTACCGCCGCTGTTTGTTACAGCTGCTGAAGCAGCTGCGGCCCCTGTTCCCGGGCACCCCTCCCGGGCCCTCGACCTCCCGCTCCGCACGGTGAGTTCGGACCGGTAGCTTCCGGTGGCGGAATCCGAAGGCCTAGGGCTAGAGGAGGGGCGACAGATAAGTTGGGAGCTGTTGGAGGGGCGCCGCGGACTGGAGATCGGGGTAGGGTGGTTGGGGGTGGAGGCGGCTGCATCACACGAGGAGGTGCCGGAGGAGGAAAGTAGGAGTAGGAGGCCGGGGGTAGGACTTTGGGGAGGAGTGTTTCGGCTGGGGTGGGGGGCGGGGAGAGGCTGGACTTCGGGGATAAAGGTTTTGGCTTGCTGAACGCATGCAGATGGGGGGTGGGGCTCCGGACCCTGCTAGGCTCCGAGTGTCAGGTCCCTAGCTGGAAAGCAAAGCTGGAGGCCCTCGTGCCAGAAGTCCCACTCCGAAAACCCCAACAATAGTGAGGACTCCGCCTCCTCGCTCCTCCCTGCCCCCAGGTTGGAGAGGGTTCCCTTTCTTTCCACTCCTACCAACCCCTCGAGTCTGGGAGGCTGGACCAGAGCGAGAGGTGAGCCACTTTGGTCCTGCAAGTTGTGGGTGGGTGGAGTGATAGAGTTATGTGGTGTGCTGCCACGGACTTTCCTTTGGGGTCCTCAGGGTACAGGCCTGGATATTTGGGCTCATCATCCACAAGGCAGGAGGCTTGCTGTTTAAAGGGTTGCTTTTACCTGGGGGAGGAAATGGGAAACACTTCCCTAGTGGCTGCCCTGGGGCGCACTCTGGCCTTGACGTGAGTGTCTGACAGACTGGTTGGGCCGGGATGTTCCTGTGTGGAGCCAAGTGGGAGGGGAAAAGAACTTCCAGCAAAAAAGTGGTTAACAGAACAGAGTTGCTGCAGGCTCTGGTTTGAGGCAGGTTATGAAACCACATCAGGGGCTGGTGATGGCAGCCACCTGCCAGCAAAACTTTAGAGCCTCAGCTGCTGGGGACCTGTCTGCCTTTGTCAACCTCTTCTCCCTAGTTTTCCACTTCTGGGAGAAGGATCAGTTGATTACTAATGGAGGTGACATGTACCCACAGACACCAAAGTCCCAAGAGTGCGTTCTGGCTGCCAGATTTTTTCTTAGTTTATGAATTGCTAATGTCTATTTTTTGGGGGAAGCGGGTGGTGGTCTGATAGGGTTTCCTGCTCTCAGGGCACCTAGTGTTCAGGCTTAAGAAAGAAGCTTCCCACGGTGTTATCTAGGACCTAGATCAAGGTTCCTCCCAGACTCATTGGGCTTTGTTGGATGCACTGTTAGACAGAAGAGGGAGTAGAGCCTTATGATTTAGGATCCAGCAAGGCTTTTCTCACTTCTGGACAAAATGCTAGGGAGGACTAGAAGTCTTTCTGCACCTACAGCCCTGGAGGTCTGACTTATGAAGGAAGGGCCAACAGTTTCTGGAGAGCTTTTTCCCTCTCCATAGTGGTAAGTCCTTCAGAGGCCTCACTTCTTAGACAGACACAGCCCCTGTCCCAGGTGGAGGCTTTTGCGTAGTAGGTATCCCAAGGGCTATGTTAGGGTAACTGAAGTCCCAAGGCTCTGGGAAGGTAAACAACGGATTTTCTAGTTCCTTGGGTTTCTGTTAGGCTCAATTATCCAGCTTAATGGGCTGGGCCAATGGGCCCCAGGAGCATCACTTCCACAGTGTGTACCCCAGTGTTTACCCTGAAGTAAACCCTATCAGGCCTGTACCCTGAAATAAACCCTATCAGACCACCACCCCCTTCCCCCAAAAAATAGATATTAGCAATTCATAAACTAAGAAAAAATCTGGCAGCCAGAACGCACTCTTGGGACTTTGGTGTCTGCGGGTACATGTCATTTCCATTAGTAATCAACTGATCCTTCTCCCAGAAGTGGAGAAATAGGGAGAAGAGGTTGACAATGTTTACTTGTTGGGAAACTGTGTTTGTAAGCTTTGAAAGCTTTGAGTTTTAAGAAGAGGAAACTTGTTCTCATTGTTCTATAAGTAAGGAACTAACCCATGAGGATATTGGGTCTTGTGCAGGCTTGGCTAGGATCCTGCCAGGAGATGTAGTTTCTGAGTTTGAGGGGGTTGGCCCAATGGGGTGATAGAGGTGGTCTTCTGGGCACTTCTAGAATATCTCCGTCTGGGACTCCTTTTTGTATTACCAGGAAATTTGGGGCTGCTACCATGATGATGACTCTGGGGTCTTTAGCAGACAAGACCCTACTTTAGATAAGGAGGTGAGCAATACACAGGTGACTTCTGTTCCCACCTTCTGCTAGTCATAGGACCCTCAGGGGTCTGGGGACAACCAGGCTCTGGACAAGCAGCAGATCTTCCCCCTCCTGCCTTCTTTTCTCCCTTCTGCCCACTCTAGATAGGGATCACTATTTCCTGGGCATCAGGGGCAGCCTTCTGGTTCCTCCTGTTGCAGGACTTCTAACACTGGGACTGGGCAGGGGAAAGGACAGTGTTAATACCTGGAAACAGGTGCTGAGAACGGAGGTTGAGGTGAGGACGGCTGGGGCAGAGAAGGAAAAAGGCAGGAGGGAGGTCGCTGGTATGATTTCGTGTCCTTAGGAGATTGGCTTCCAGCTGCCTGTGGGAACTATAGATGTTGGCCATTCTCTGTATCCTTCCCTCCCCTCTCTTTCTCCTCTGTTAGTCTTCCTGGGCCAAAGTTTGGATCTAGGATCGAAGAATTAGGGTGAATAGAAACAGTGACCCCAAAGTACTTCATCCACTACTGCTTGTGCCCACAGGGCTTGCCTTCTTTTACTCCTGTAGGAAGGGCTTAGAATAGGAGAGGTCTACTGAGGCCTTCAGTGAGACAGAACCAGCAGGAATCATGCTGAGGGAGAATTTTGGTGGGGTAAAGGGCCCTGGAGATTTGACACCAGAATGGCTGGCATCCCAAGGGTTAGCCTGAGTGTCTGCCAAATGGATAAAATGTCTGGGTGTATAGTTTTGTGTCACCAAAAAGGAGCCTTCCAGATCTGAGCAAATATTGTCTCTTAATGCTATTTTCTCCTCCCACCCTCTTTCTCCTTCAGTCCTCCTGGGTAAACTTTGGGGAGATCTATGATTGGAAAATTAGGGGTGGGTGGGAATAGTGACCTCAAAGTACTTCACCCACAAGCCTCACCTTCTTTTACTCCTGTGGAAAGGACTTAGGGTAGGAGACGTCTCCTCAGGCCCTCAGTTGAGACAGAGCCAGCAGGAATTATACTGAGAGAGAATTCTAGGGGGCAGGCCTCTTCTCCCCGTAGTAGGAAGGGGACCCTCATGGAAGTGCAATAGCAGGGGATGGGCATTGATTTCTCTGCTCTGGACCTGAATATCTTTTGATGATCTGTCCCCAGGCACTTATAGGGCACTGTCCTGATGGGATGATGCCTAGGACAGCCTAGTTTTACTCTCACCCCAGCAGCAGGAAATGACTAGAGCCAAGTGCACATAAACTTTTTTCTAGCCTCCGTTCTTGTGAACCAAAGCAGTGAGACTATATGGAGTTCTCAGGGAAGGAAGATCCAGAGGGTGTGAGGGGGCAGAGGAAGTGGTGTGGCCTGTCTCACCTGTGCTGCTTGTTTGCAGAGCAGCAGCGGAGAGGGGTGTCAGGATGAATGTGGGCACAGCACACAGCGAAGTGAACCCCAATACGCGGGTGATGAACAGCCGTGGCATCTGGCTCTCCTATGTGCTCGCCATTGGGCTTCTTCATGTTGTGCTGCTGAGCATCCCCTTCGTGAGTGTCCCTGTCGTCTGGACCCTCACCAACCTCATCCACAACATGGTGAGAACCTGCACCTGACCATATGTGCTGCTCTTTGATGGGGCTGAGGAATAGAAGGAATCTGCCAAACGTGGGCCGGGTAGCAGGGTGATGACCTGACAACAGCTGTTGCCAGCGCCCAGGCCTACCTCTTACCTTTCCATCCCACTCCTCCTCCTGGGTTTCAGCTCTGTACACACCTATAAGAAGAATCAAATCTGCAGAGTTGTCCACATCTCCTGGATGGGGTAGCTTGTGGATTTGGAAGTTGGCTACTGAGAACTGAACCAAGGGCTTTGAAGTATCCCCAGCACCCAGGAATCCTAGTGCCTAGCCTGGAGCAGAAAGGCTCCTTCCCCAAGTTAGGATCTCATTCCACCCCTCACTCCGGTCCTCCTTTGCCCCTTAGCAGTCATTGCCTCTTACTCCTTTGGTGAACAGGCAGGTGTTCAGTCCCCCTCAGCCTGCCCCTCCTTTCTGGCTCGTGGAGGCTCCACCTGGGCCGGAAGGTAGCATCTCTATGCCTTTTCTGCAGCTAACTTCTCTTCCTTTCAGTCTCTTCATGCCAGGCCTGCCCTCTCCCCCTGGAGTCCTCTTGTTATGCCAGTCTCCCAGCTGCTCCATCTTGGCCTCCAGCCCATATCCCCCTGCCCAACAGGGGGAGGCTGCAGATCACCTGGAACTACTTCTGTGACTGGGTGGAGGAGCTAAGCTGGGGGCCCTTTGGCCTTTTGTATCTTCTAATGAAGACACCCCTCTCCAGGGCATGTACATCTTCCTGCACACAGTGAAAGGGACACCCTTCGAGACCCCAGACCAGGGCAAAGCGAGGTTGCTGACCCACTGGGAGCAGATGGACTACGGGGTCCAGTTCACGGCTTCTCGGAAGTTCTTGACCATCACGCCCATTGTGCTGTGAGTGCCTTCACTAGTGAGGACACCAGCAGGCAGGACAAGGCCTGGGGGAGCCTGGGGCCAGCCAGACCTAAACCCCTCCCCAACTGTGGCCCTTGATGTAGGAATAAACAGAAGGGAAGGCGAAAGATCCCTGGGTCTTACACTGCACTCAGGCCTGGGCCTCCCTGGCCCTCTTTTCTCAGTTGGAAAGACATTGGCCCACAGGCCTGGGTGCAGGAGGGGGCTGAGTTAATAGAGGCTGCAGTAGCCCGGGAGATCTTGCCATTCCACTTCTGGTGTGGAGACACCTCCTATAACTCCTTAGTGGTTGGAATTCTGAGGGAGGAGGTGACCTCCATTTTTTCATCTCTCTCCCTAACCTTTCCCTCCAGGTACTTCCTAACCAGCTTCTACACCAAGTACGACCAGATCCATTTCATCCTCAACACTGTGTCTCTGATGAGCGTTCTCATCCCTAAGCTGCCCCAGCTCCATGGAGTCCGCATTTTTGGCATCAATAAGTACTGAGGGTGCAACCCCTTCCCCAGCCTGGGGTGGCAGGGGAGGGGTGGAAGGCGTTTGCTGTGATTCTGAAGACAAGGAGCCTCTGGACACTGCCGGAGATGGGGATCACGCCTCTGGGCTAGTTCCCCCTTGCTTCCCCAGTAGCCGACTTGGAGTAGCTTGTAGTGGGTTGGGGTGGGCCCCTGGGCTCTAACCCATTCTGATTTTTTGATTCTTTCCTTTTGCCTTTTGAATAGACTCCATGGGGTGGTCATGGAAGGGCTGGGCTCCCGGGCTGAACATGGACCTAGATCTCCGGGGTTGGGACAGGAGGCAAGGGAGAAATCCCTGCTTGCTTGTTTACCCTCAGGCAGCCAAAGCACTTTAACCCCTGTGAGGGAGCAGAGGAAGGTACGGCTTCTGGATTGTTTCGTTTTGGTTCTTCAGGCTGTAGGATGACAGTGTATTTTTGTATCTATGGAAGCAAGTGTGTGACAGTACCTCACCCCTCTGGGTAGAGAGCTGTCTGATCCTAGTCCCAGGCTTTTGGTGGCTCTCCCGCACCCTACTCTGGGTGCTGGATGGGAGCGGGGAGGGTGAGGGGAGGTGGTGGTGGGGCATACATGGCCTGGTTCCGGAGGCAAAGGGCCAGGGCTTTGCCATCTGGTCCCAGTGGAGGTTGGGGAGAGGGCAGTGGTGGGTAAGGGTGGGGTAGTGATCTGAGTCTTAGAAGAACGGGCCTCAGCAGTAGTGGAGGTATGTTGTAAAAGGGGAGTGGGCAGAAGCTAGTCCCACCTCCTCCTCACCCACAGAATGGTCTTGGGGAGAGGTTAGGGAAGTGGCTCTGGGTTTGAAACTCCTGGACTGGCGTGAGGGGCGGACTTGGGTGGAAGAGGCTATGTCATTGTGAGCACAGGTACAGTTTGACACTGTCCTCTGGGTGTGAGGAAGCTGCAACAGAAACAGTGGACAGTGGGGCCCTTCCATAGTCCCTCACCTTGTGACCTCCCTGTTCAGACTGGTGCCGTGCAGAGCCTTTTGAGGGACAGGTACACGTGGGGCTCTGAAGCCACCTCCACTTGGTGGTGGGCTGAAGGGTCAGGCAGGGTGGTGGCTGCAGCCACTGTTTCAATCCAAGGAGGGAGACAGGTGGGGCTGGCTAGAGAGGAGGCGCCTTCTCCCCTCCCCAGTCCTACTGGGAGCATGTTACATTGAAAAGGTGTGGTGCCTGAGCCCTCTGCTGGGGGGCCTGAGGGAGGAGGAGAGTTCACTCATCCTGTTTTTTGCCTCCTATCCCATCCCCACCCCAAGTATCACAGGGAACTTTCACCTTAAATCTTTCTAAGCAAAGTGTGAATAGGATTTTTACTCCCTTTGTACAGTATTCTGAGAAACGCAAATAAAGGGCAATATGTTCCTGTTTCCTCTGTGTCTGGCCTCTGTTTCCTGGAGGGCCCTGGGGGAGGGGGGGGTAGCAGCTCCTGCTGACACAGTGGTGGGGACTCTGGGACTGCTGGTTTTTCTTAGGCCCCATTAAGCCATGCACCTCTGACTTTATAAGCAGGGGCCCTTCAGTGACCAAGGAGAGGGTCAGTCCAGGCATGGTTTTACAACTGGAGTGGTGGGGGTGAGAGGGACAGCCCTTCCCTCTGAAATTCCCCATCCCTCTCCATTCTTCCAAGGTCTTTCCTAGTCTCTGAGCATAAGTGGGAAGGGAAGAGGTAACTCCAGGACTTTTGAGGCTCATATAGCCTCGAGAAGGAGGAGTCCTTATCTCCCGAGGACATGGCTTTTCAGCGTGTCTGTGCCACATTATCTCCTACTCCCAGGACAGGTGCAAAGTCCCAGACAGGAGGGAGGACCTCCCCCCAGCAGCCTGGCTCTTCCAGTCTTGGTCCTGCTTCATGGTATCCTTGAAGTGGGAGTCTGGAAGAGTGCAGGATCTTTGCCTAAGGCCAGAGACCGTCTCACTCCCCAAGTGGGGCCACACGGCAGTGGGAGGAGAAATGCAGCTACTGGGCCCAGTCCTGGGATTGGGACTGCCTGGGTTGCTTCCATGGCTGGAAAGAGTGCAGTTGGGACAAGGTTCAGGGAACATCAACAGTGACCTTTGTTCCAATCTGAGTGCTGTCATTTGCTGTGTGGCCTCCTCCAAATATTTCTCTTAAGTTTTAATTTTCTTTCTCTGTTGTATAATGCTTCTTAATCATATGGCTTCTGTTGTGAGCCATACGATTAATTGTCACCATTTTCTTTATTTTTTTTAATTTTTAAATTTTTTTAAAGAGAGAGTGAGAGAGGAGAGAGAGAGAGAGAGAGAGAGAGAGAGAGAGAGAGAGAGAGAATTTTAAAAAATATTTATTTATTTTTTTTAGTTCTCGGCAGACACAACATCTTTGTTGGTATGTGGTGCTGAGGATCGAACCCGGGCCGCACACATGCCAGGCGAGCGCGCTACCGCTTGAGCCACATCCCCAGCCCCACCATTTTCTTTAAATGTTCTTTCAGAAATGAGGGGTGCAGAGACCAGAATTTAGTCTGGATTCACATAGGTAGTTATAGCTGAGGGAAGACAGGGGCGGGGGAGAAGGAAGTCGATGAAGAAGAGTAGGTGGCATCCAGATAAGGAGGACCTGCATCTTCCTGAGAGGGTTCTCGAGGTATGTGGTAGGTGGGGAGGCTGAGTTCATACTAGCCCAGCCTGTTCTTTGCAGGTGTTGACTGCTGTTCTTTGGGTGTCTTCATTGCTGCCCACCATAGTGTGGCATTTGGATATGCTGGTTCCTAGGTCACTGTCATGTCCCTGACAGCCATGTCATTGCTTGCTGACACTTGGTTAATATCCACCCATATGCCATTTCTGTATTCTTTTTTGGTGGTGCTGGGGATTGAACCCACGGCCTTGTGCATGCAAGACAAGCATTCTACCAATTGAGCTATATCCCCAGCCCTCCATTTTTCTATTCTAACTCACTGGATAGCAGCACAGCTCAGGCTGTCTTATTCTATACCATTCTCTGGCTCAAACTCACCTGGGATATCTATCAGGATCTCCCATCTACTCCTTGAGTCCGAAAGAAATGAAGAGGTTTTGGTTTAATTTGCCTCCAACCTAGCTATGGCTTATGAGGCTTATCTAAAGGCCCAGGAGGTGGGGCATGTAGCCCTACCCATCCTTCCCAGAAGTGCTCCACCTGGAGAACTTTGAAATATTTTATATCTTCCTGAGATTCTGAGGCCAGGAATTATGTAGAGATCCGACAGGGAATTCTGATAATTTCCACTTTTGGTAAGCAGCTGAGGACAAGAGAGAAGGTCGGTAGCCTTTGAGTTAGGCCTGTAGTCCTGGTCACTCTTTCCAAACACCTAGAAGAATTCCCAGGTTGGGAGTAAGCTAAGAGTTGGCTTCCACAATGGGGGCTGGGGCAGAAAAGGAGCAGTGAGTAGGTGCTGGGTCAGGCAGCAGGGACTGAGGGGAAGGTGGCCAGAAGTAGGATGGGAAGGGAATCTAGGGAAGCTTTGTTTCCTTCTGAGGCCAACTTAATCACAAATGGTTGCTAAGGAGTACCCATCCCAACTGCCTTGTAGAATATGGCAAGGAAAGGAGGCCAGGAATCAAAGCCAAGGGGAAGAAACAGCCAGCTGGGGCTGGTCATGTGAAGTCTAGATGCTCTGTCCCTTATCTCTTCCTGGTTCCTCTGTCACATTGGTGACAATTTGGCTGGGGGATGAAGGGGCTTCCTTTTCCAGTCTTCATGCCCCTTGGAACAGGGGGTAACTCTGCTATGAGAGATGCAAAAAATGGGTCTCACTTTGCTTGTTTGTGGTAATCCCTACTCCATCCTTCCTCCAGATGAGTTCCATGGGGGAGAGGAGAATCTGGGATCTGTGTTTTTACTCTTATTTATCATCCCTTTTAAAAACGGGGAAGGTAAACTATTCCAGGTCCTACTTGTCTGGAAACTTTGGTTCTTCCTTGATTCCAATCTGCCGAAGGTAGAAGATTTAAATACCTAAACCATATCCTCCTCCCGCAAACTGAAATTAGCTTCCTTTAGCCAGTTGGTCCAGGCACAATGCTTAGTGTATTTGAGGATGTCACAGAAATGTGACTGGATGAGGTGGATGCTGGAGAGGATATGATTGCTATCAGAAGCATCCTAGATGCTGGCAGATTCCACTGATTCTCTCTAATGAGGGAGAAGAGAAGCCCCTGGGGATGGCACTACTACAGAACAGACCTCATCTTGCAGTACAGACTGCAGGAGGGCGAAGCATCATGTGACAGTTGGAGCTGGGCTCCCAGGTCAGTAAGAGATGGACGAGGCAGAGAGTCTTGACTGCCCTACTCCATTCTATTCTCAATTCCCTACTGCCATCAGCCAAGCCTACCAACTGATTTGTATATCACGTCTGCACACCCCAATTTAAGAAACACACCGAAGAGCTGCATGGGGGAGGGGAGAAGGGGAAGTAAAGATTTCTTTTAAATTAGCTGAGCTCTCCTCATACTTTTTGTTTTGTTTTGGTATTGGGATGGAACCCAGGTACACTTTACCACTGAATTACATCCCATCTCTTTTTATTTTGAGACAGGGTCTTGCTTCAAGAAACCTATTTGGTGCTGTCTCTTTCTCTGGCGATGGCTCACATTCTCCCTTGAATATCTCTGCTCTCCTAAATAAATCTTTGTGTCTCTCAAAACAAAACAAAACAAAACAAAAACCAAAACAACAAAGAACCAAAATAAAAACAAAAAAAGAAAAGCCTATCTGTTTGCATACAAAATTCAGGGGCAGAGGTGAAACCAAACTGAAAAAATCCTTGCAATGATGTTAAATATGTTAAATAGTCTTATGAATTCATTTTTGGCAACTTGGCCTGCTCTCTTTTCAAAAATATATTTGTATTTCAGCTCTATGGTGCTGTTGGTATGGTTAAAGTGTGCACATTTTTTTTTGTTGTTGTTATTGTTTTTTTACTAACTAAAGTCCTTACTTCAGATTATTTTAGTTTTTACTTAATGTCCTTTTTCTATTTTAGGACCCCATATTACATTTAGCTGTCATGTTGTTTTTGCCGCCCCCCCCCCTCGTTTGGTGCTATGGATTGAACTCAGGAGCACTTTACCCCTGAAATACATACATCCTTAGTCTTCAATTTTTTTTTTAATATTTAATTTTTAGACAGGAAGGATCTTTCTCAGTTGCTTAGGCCCTTGATAAGTTGCCAAGGCTGGCCTTTAACTTGTCATCATCCTGCCTCAGACGGTCACTGGGATTACAGATGTGCACCTTTGTGCCAGCACTTTGACTCCTCCTGATTCTGACAGTTTCTCAGATTTCCTTGTTTTTGATGACCTTCACAGTTTTGAGTAGTACTGGTTGGATGTATTGTAGGATGTCCCTTTATTGGAATCTTTCTCATTTTTTTTTTTTTAAAGAATCAGTGAGAAGCTTGCTTTATTTTTTTTTAAAGAGAGAGTGAGAGAGGAGAGAGAATTTTTAATATTTATTTTTTAGTTCTTGGCGGACACAACATCTTTGTTGGTATGTGGTGCTGAGGATCGAACCCGGGCCACACGCATGCCAGGCGAGCGCGCTACCGCTTGAGCCACATCTCCAGCCCCCTTTCTCATTTTTTCTTCATGTTCAACTGTAGGTATAGATTTGGAGGAGGAAGACCATGGCAAAGTACTGTTCTTATCCACATTATATTGGGGGTACATAGTATTAACATGCCTTATCACTGTTGATATTGACCTTGATTCCCTGGCTGAAGTAGTATTTGTCAAGTTTTTTACTTTAAATTTATCCTTCCCTGCTCCACTTCTCCATAATGTACTCTTTGGGCATATAAAATTTTATTTTTTTTCTCTCTGACAAAGTACATGCAAATTTTTATATCACTCAAGAAACAAATGGGCCCTGAGATGTTACTGTGTCATATGTGTAAGGTTGATTTCAGGGACTGTTATTGTCTGTTTCCACCAGTTCCAAATGCATTTTTTTTCTGGAAATCCAGCCCCGTTCTCCAAACCCATCAGCTGGGGCTCTCCTTCCTCTGCAGGTTTATACTTGGGAGGCCTCAGAGAATGGCCCTTGGCTCCTTCACTAACCCTGACAGGGCTGCTGACTCAGCATCAGTGCCGTGATTAGCCCTGATCAGTTGGGGCAGAACCCATGCAGGTGGGCAACATTCCAGAGTTGCCTCACTTTCCATCTGCATGGTTCATACAAATGCCTGGGATTTAATTCTGCTTAATTTTTATTTTCCAATTGGCAAGGGCTCCTACTTTTTTAGCTTTATTTTTCCTTGTCTCATTTCAGCCTCTCAAATAAATAAGACTAGCTCCCTGGAATGTGTGCCAGGCACTTTGTTAAAGGCTACCTGCCTTATTTAATTTCCCTAAGCGAAGAAAGAACATATTGTTAATATTCAGCGATAGATGAGGAAGCAAATTTGAGAAGGTCAGGTAATTTATTCGAGGTCATTTGGTAAGAAGGTGGGCCAAACCTGGCACTGTGTGAGGGTATTCCAGAGAAAGGTTTTTAGGGTCAGCTTTACCGAGACCTTTGCCCTTGTCTTTCCAGGTCCAAAGGTTGAATTAGCTGGCACAGTAACACTCTTGTTATCCCAGCAGCTCCAGAGGCCGAGACTGGAGGATCGTGAGTTCAAAACCAGCCTCAGCAATGTCAAGGCACTAAGCAACTCACTGAGACCCTGTGTCTAAATAAAATACAAAATGGGGCTGGGGATGTGGCTCAGTGGCTGAGTCCCCTGGGTTCAACCCCTGGTACAAAAAAGAAGTTGTGTTACAAATAATGGACAAGGACTTGAAGTTGATAGTGAAATTATCCAAAGGAGAAATAATTTCAGGTGACTTCTGGGGGATCCCACAAACAGAAAACCAAGATGGTGAAGAAGTGTATACATCAGAAATTTCTGGAATCTCTTGAGAACAAATGAGGCTGGAGTTGGTCAGCAGTGAGAAGGGAAAAGGGCAGAAGCCCATTTTAGGCACTAAGGTCATCCATGCGCCACCCTGGCTGGTACAGCCTCTCACACCCCATCCTGGCACGCATCAACCCACTCCTCACTGAAACCCACTTTCTCTTCTCTGCTCATTTCTCCAGGAGTAACCTCTACACAGCCTTCTTCTGGTGTCCCCCATTCCCGCCCATCCCTGCTGCCCTCAGGGGTGATAAATTCCTCTGCTGGTATTAAGAGGCCACTCCTTGCTCTTTTGTACTGAGTGGCAGAGCCAGCATTTTATGCTTGATTTGCTTTTTTGAGCAAGCCCATGGTTCCATGTCCTCCTTCCTCATTGCACTGGAAGTAACTCATGACAAGGGACTGACTTTACTCACCTCTCCGTGTTTACCTCCAGCACACAGCAGGTGCTCAACAAAAGAGCTGAAGTAAAGCATACAGTAAAATCGAAACACCCCTTGCAGAACATTTCTTGCACAGAAAGTGCCACCACCCCACCCACAGCTGGCACCAATCAAATGCCCTGAAGGTTCTGCTAGCTGGAGGGCATGTGCTTCCTGACTTAAGGGGACATCACCAGCTTCACCCTCCGCAACAGTTCTGTGCTGGGGTGTTGGTCTTTTCTTCCCCAGCTGGAATTGCTAGTGATGGAGGAGGAGTTCAGGGGAAGGAGCCCACAGTTCTCCAGGATAGCTCTCCCTGAGAAGGTGTCTTTCCCTTTTTTAGGGACCTCAGTGAGGTTTCATGGGTCCCTTGAACTCCCCCTGCTTACCATAACAATGCTGGGGGCAGGCTCCAGGGTTTTTCTAAGGGAGCTCAGTTTTTTTCTGGGATGCCTGTTTTTTTCTAGGGTGAAGGTGTATGATCTTTATACATGGGGACATTAGATAGGCAGGGGAAGATCATCAGAGGCAGTGATGCATGGCTTTCTTTGGTTGCAAATAATAGAAGGTCCATCAAGCTATTTTAAGTCAACGTGAATTTCCTTATGAAATCAGAGATGCCTCAGGAGCCCAAGGGCAGGCAGTATAGCCAGATGGGCTCCAGGGACCAATGTAAGGAGCTGGAAACCCTTCTCAGAGAGGTGGGTGCCTACTTGCCAGACGCCCAGATCAGTGTCATGGGAAAAGCATGTGCTTTGGACTCACACAGACCTGGATCTGAATCCCAGCTCTACACTTACTATTGTGTGACCCTGAACCATCCACAACCCATCACTAAGCCTCAATTTCTTCATATGAAAAATGAATGTGATTCTGCCCACACCATAAGTGTGTGGCGAGGGTTAAATGTGCTTCCTCTGGAATCTCTCACTGTTGATGATGGTGTGCAGAAGCTACTGTCAACACTAGTGCGTTCTCTTCCCACTTTGCATCTCCACTCCCCACCCACAGTGGGTAAAGCCAGCTATGAGGGGTGCTGTGTTCCAGTTTTCTAACTTCAGATAGGAAGTAGCTGATGGATGGGGAGGGGTGTCAGTGGGAGGTGGGGCCTGAGGTTCTGAACTCTCACCCCTCACCCTCACTCTGTCTCCAGGAAGCTAAAGGAGAAACTACCCCTCTCATTCCAAAAAAATTAACAGAAAAGAAGACCTGTTCCTGACGTCAGAAACTCTAGAGACAGAAGAGGAGGAAAACCTCCAAAGGAGAGCAGCAATATAACATTTGAAGCCTGACCAGGAAATTCTTTTTCAGCTATGAAAACAAGGTTAGGATCCTGGGAGAGGGGGTGAGAGAACCAGCCATGGCCCACCCACTGCAGCTCAAGGGGATGCTGGCTCTTAGCTCTTGCTTCAGAACTCCCTGAGCTGTTCCCGCTGCTCTTTGGCCTTCTTGCCCCAAACAAGGGGTCAAGTTCCCTCCCCTCACTAGAGATGGCCTCTTTTCATTTTCCACAGTGTTCCCCACGGTTCTTAATTACACAGGTGTTTTGTTTCTTGCTCATTGTCTTTCTTCCTTTCCAGGAGGCAGGAGGGCAAGAGCCACAGTGCCCAGAACAAAGCATTTGTTGAATGGACAGAGGGAATAGCATAAGTTTGGTGTCAAACACAGGTTCAACTTCAGCTCTGCCACTTTTTTTTTAGCCAAGCTACTGACTCACATACTTGCCTTTCAGAGCCTCAGCCCTCATCTGGAAAATGGAGATAAAAATGTCTACCTCACAGGAATTTTTTGAAGACCAGGCAAGATAACTGTGTTATAACTGAGTAACTAGAGATCCATCAGTGTGAGCTCCTTTTCCCCAGCACTTCAGGGAAGTGACTATCCTCTAGGAGCAGATTGTGGACTATTGAATAAAACAGCTTATTTTGTGGGCTGGGGCTGGGGCTCAGCTGTAGAGTGCTTGCCTAGCATGTGTGAGGCACTGGTTTTGATCCCCGACACCACATAGAAATAAAAAATAAATAAACAAAATAAAGATATTGTGGCCATCTACAACTAAAAAATAATAGTAAAAAAAAATAAATAAAACCAGTTCCTTTTGTGGACAAGGAGAGAATGAGAATGAGAATGCAAGGCCTGGTGGGAGCAGGCTGGGGTCCCTGAACACCCCAATGGGGTGGGGATAGATTGAGTCAGGCTCTGTATCAGCCTGGGCTGGGCAGCTGGTGAGCCTGGAGATGTGGGGACAGCTCCAGGGAAGAGGAATCCTTGACTCAGGATTGAGAAGGACTGAGATTGATCACACCACCAGCCCTTTCCTAGATGTGGTAGCTCCCAGCTCAGTCTCCCAGTAGTAGTGGGGTTTATCCTGTTTTTTTTTTCTTTTTTTTTAGGGGAGGAGGAGGGGAGTTTGAGGGTAAGGTGTGGGTATTGGGAGGGACTGGAAAGAAGGAATTTACGGGGAGAAAACTGGTCCTCCCTCCACCCCCACCGCTTCTGCCTTACTTTCCCTCTCTGCCTTTCTTGTGCTAGTTTAGCTATTAATTTCTGGGGCAAGACAAACAAGGGTGAGTAAGGTGCTGGGCCTCATGTTCATCATTCCAGAATGGGCAAGGATATCATTTTTTTAAAAAACATTTTTTAGCTGTTAATGGACCTTTATTTTATTTATTTGTATGTGGTGCTGAGAATCGAACCCAGTGCATCACACATGCCAGGCAAGCACACTACCACTGAGCCACAACCCCGGCCCCAAGGATATCATTTTTAAACAGAGGACAACAAATAACCTTGAATTGTATAGTTGTTAAGGCTGAAAATGTAGTGAAATGTACCCAGAGGTGGGAACCATAGTAAAGGGAAAAATCTGCCTGTTGGAAAAGAAACCTGGGTGGAATGTTGGCCTTGGGCTTCCAGATTGCTGCCAGGACAATCTGACTTGCTAAGTACCCTCGATGAAGGCCTGTTGGCCCAGGCAGCACAGCCGCATTACCTGGCTACTCCACACAAGCCAACACTGGCTGTGAAGAGGGAACAGGACTGGAGTTGGCTTAGGTCTAGTCCTGCTCTGCCCCTCCCTAGCTCCACAGCCTCCAAGTCATGGTTTTCCTGACTTTAAATGAAGGGGCTAGGCCAGAAGATTCCTGTGATTCTAAATGTGCTTCCTGTGGAACCATTTCTTTTTTTTTTTTTTCCTGGATCCCAGCAGGATTGTATTGCCAAAGAAGTCTTGGGAAGAGATAAAGATAGAGGTCTGGGTGAGTGAGGACACGTTGCCCCCTCTTTGGGCCTTGGATGCTTCTTCAATCATCTGGGCAAGGGGTCTGCAAATACAGCTTTGCTGTTTACACACAATGATGAGAATGCAGGCTCGCTGGCATGGGCAGTGAGGGTTCTGGCTCCAGGAGTAGAAGTTTCATCCCTGGGAGAACAATGTCTATAGGGCACTAGAGATGAACTGAAGTGTCTCTAAAATTCTTCTTTGCAGAGAAGGGTGGTGGTTCATCAAGTTTAGGTAAGGATGATAGCCCAGTGAGTTCAGGGTGGTTGTACCCATCCACCCATGGGCCCAACTGGCCAAGACTTCCAGGTGGGTAGGGTCAACTGAGTGGTGGCATGGGGATTTGGGTTAAGGTTTAACTCTAGTGTGGAGGTTGCATGTGTCTCTTCTAAACATAATGGTTCTCATTGGTTGTATTTTCTTTTTGTTTTTCTTTCTTTCTTTCTTTCTTTCTTTTTTTTTTTTTTGGTACCAGGGATTGAACACTGTGTGTGTGTGGGGGGCCATTAACCACTGAATCACATCCCCAGACCAGGATGCACATTCAGAATAAGGGAACCAAGTTCATGCTAAGCTTCTTAGGGCCTCACTAAATTGCTAAGGCTGCTTTCAAACTTGTAATCTTCCTGCCTCAGCCTCTCAAGACTCTGGGATTACAGGCATGTGCCACTGTGCCCGGCTCATTGGTTATATCTTGAAAGTACCTGGGGGAGGAACTTTTCAATTAATGATATCTGAGTATTATCTCCATTAACTCTGATTTGACTGGTCTGAGGTGTGGCCTGAGAATAGGGGTCTGTAATAATTTCCCAAGTGCTCATGAACAAAGTTGAGAGTCACTATTTAATTTCCTCTTTTATTTATTTTTGTGGTACTGGGGATTGAACCAAGGTGCACTCTACCACTCAGTTAAATCAGAACTCCTTTTTACTTTTTATTTTGAGATAGGGTCCCACTTAGTTGCTTAGACTGACCATGAACTTGTGACCTTCTTACCTCAGCTTCATGAGCATCTGGGATTGTAGACATGTGCTTTGGTGCCCAGCTAACTTCCTCTCTAATTTTAAATCCTCTTTATTCCTAGTAGTCTGAGGACTGCATTTTGATGGAAAAAACTAAAGAACCAAGTTTTGGTTTCCTGGAAGTGGAGAACTTTGGGTTGGGACTAAACTGGGGGCAAACTAGGGAAATGGAAGCCAAGGTAAGTGGGAGGCAATGATGGTGGGTGTCTGGAAAGAAGGATGGTTCATTTTAACAGGACAAGACTAAGAGAAAGAAAAACACAGGGAGATGGTCTTTAAGGGAAAGGCAGACAAAAATGGGGTCTCATGGGGGTGGAACAGGTTCATAAATTTTACCTCTACAGGAAAGAATTGTGTTTGGAAGATTCTAGAAACATGAAGGAGAAAGTGTAGGATATTGTGAGAGGCCTCTGGGATCTGACTGGGAAGGAGCGAAATATGGTGCTAAGATCACTAAGTACCTCAGCAAGGAAGGTGTCTGCAGGATCTGGAACAAAGAATAAGGGGCCCTAACTAGGGAGAAAGAGAGGGTCTGTAGGAATGGCAGTTGTCACAATGAGGACAATCTTCTACAGCAGGACTGTGCTTATCTCCCTCACCCCCTGCCCCCAGGGGTCTGAGGTCCTAAGCTCTAGTGGGTTGTAGATGGGCAGTCCACCAGATCCTCTCATAAGCAGCCTTTTCAATATTGCTGGGCACTTAGTAGAAGTGTGTGCAGAAGCCATTCAGGAAGTCTTGGATGCCTTGATAGGTGAGGTAGGGTCTGGCTGTATGTGGAGGAACTGCTGAACAGAGAGAACTGTGGGGGAACCTAGTCTTAGGAGGAGAGGGGTGCACAGTGCTCTCTACACTTTATGAGGGGTCACCCTTCACTTAGCTGTCTTCCCTAGGCCAGACTTTGAGGACTGCATCCCCTTCTTCCTTGATGTAGTCTATGACCTCTTGCAAGTTAAGAGGGAAGCAGGAGCCATAACTGGAGCATCCCAGAGGCTCTTAGAACCTCCTCCTGGTGAATGTTGGCCTGATCAGCCACTGAAGCCTGGACCTACTGGTACCTCTCCTTTATACCAACTGACATATTTTCTTCCCTCCAAAGCTGTCTGAGGAGCAGCAGCAGTTTGTGGCTAAGGCACTGCAAAATGGGATCCTGGCCCAGTTGAAGGACCGGTAATACAGCCTGGGTGGAAGGCCAGGGTCATGCCTGTGTTCTCAAGGGACCTAGAAGTCCCAAGGTACAGTCCTTTTTTACTCCATAGTTCTCTGCCAGTGCATGTTCATGCAGTTGGTTTGGCAATCTCCTGCATATACAGATACCAGGACAATTTGAGATGAGTTTTTTAGGCTCTGTAGCTTGCCTATGGGCAAGAGAGGGGTGGAAAATAGTTAGTGCTAGGATGGCAGCTGGCACTCTTAAGTGCCAAGACTTACTGATTAGCAGTAACAGTGCTTGCCACTATGTTGAGAGAGCACAAGGCTCTCCAGGCTTCTCAGGAAGGAGTGCCATGACGGTTCACTGTCTGCTATGGGCTCAGTATTAAGGAATGTGGCCAGGTCTTTGCCATAGAGACCCAAGAGGCTGAGGCAGGAGAATCATAAGTTTGAGGCTAGCCTTGGCAACTTACACCCTCAGCAAATTTAGTGAGACCCTTTTTCTTTTCTTTTTTGGAGCTGGGGATTGAACCCAGGGCCTTGTGCATGCAAGAGAAGCACTCTACCAACTGAGCTATATCCTCAGCCCATGATACCCTGTTTCAGAGTAAAAAATAAAAAGGACTGAGGATGTTGCTCATTGGTAAAGTGCCACTGGGTTCAACCCCCAGTAAATAGATGATAGATAGGTAGATAGATAGATCAATAAATAAATGGGATTACAGGTATGGGCCCCCACCCCTGGCCCATCTGCATATTTTAAAGAAGTGCTGTTGGTGACAGGATGCTGGTGGTGGTAGCGTAAGGATGGATTGGGGAGGGTAGAACCCAGAGACTTGTGGGGAGAATGTTTTCTATAATAACTAATTTACATTACCACTAGCAGTGTATGAGAGTTCTGTTTCTCAATATCCATGCCAACATTTGTTATTTTTTGTCTTTTTGGTAACAGACGTTCTAATTTGGGGAAGGTGAGAGTTCACTGTGGTTTGATTTGCATTTTCCTAATACTTAAAAATGTTGAGCTTTTTTTTTTTTGGTACCAGGGATTGATGCTAAGGCTAGCTTTGAACAGTCCTCCTTTCTCAGCCTCCTGAGCTGCCTGTGCCCAGCTGTTGAGCTTTTCTTTTATTTATTTATTTATTTATTTATTTATTTTGTTAACATACCTATAGTGTTACCAGAAACTAGGAGAGGAGGGAGGAGGAAGAATGGGAGAGATGGTCAACAGATACAAAATTACTGCTAGATAGGAGCAGAAAGTACTGGTGTTCTATTGAACAGTAGGATAACTATAGTTAACAATACTGTATTATGTATTTCCATGGAGCTAGAAGACAGGATTTTGAATTTTCTCATCACAGACAAATGTAAATGTCTGAGGTGATGGATATGCTAAATACCCTGATTTGACATCACACCATGTACACGTGTATAAAAAGCATCATAATGTACCGCATAATTATGTGTTAATTAAAAATAAAATAAAGCTTAAAAATGAAAGTGTGTAGTATCCATGTCAAGAAGCACAAACAAAATAAAACCACCAATAATAAAATAAATCCAAAGAAAAGAGAAGGAGGACCAGTGTGGTGGTACACACTTGTAATCCCAGCAACTTGGGAAGCTGAGGAAGGAGGACCGCAAGTTTAAAGCCAGCTTCAGCAATTTAGCGAGACCCTAAGCAACTCAGTGAGACCCTGTCGCTAAATAAAATACAAAAAAGGGCTGGGGATGTGGCCCAGTGGTTAAACATCCCTGGGTTCAATCTCCGGAATAAAAACAAAAAACGGAAAACAGCACAAATTAATAAATAGATAAGAAACACTCAGAGGATCAGTAAGGACAGACATTAGATCTTTGAAATGACTAACAAAATTGACAGATCTCTGACAAGAATGATAAAAAGTGAGAAAGGGAGATAAGGCACATATATCATCAATTTCAAGAATGAAAAGGAGACAGTCCTACAGATACTATATGCATTTAAAGGATAGGAGAATATTAGCAATAGCTTTATGCCAAGAAATTTGAAATTTTAGATCAAATGGGCAATAGCCTACCTAGAAAATGTAATTTCCCAAAACTGATCCAAAAGGAAATAGAAAGCATGAACAATCCTATATTCATAAAGTAAAAAGAAAAAAGATTAAATTAATTGCAGTTGATTTAATGTGTACATCAAAAAATCCAGAAGATTTACACATAAATTGTGAAAATAAGAAAATTTAATAATTTGCTAAAATCAATATTAATGGACCAATTGTATTTAGGTCTGCCACAAACACAAAATGAAATTCAAAAGTACCAATTGTAATAGCACCCAAATTATAAAATACCTAGGAAAATATCAAGCAAACATTTTGAAAGAACTCTAATACATTGTTATGGGAGACCACTGGGCATAGTGGTAATCTTAACTATTCAGGAGGGTGAGGCAGGAGGGTCACAAATTCAAGGACAGCCTTAGCCATTTAGTTAGACTCTGTCTCAAAATAAAAATAAAAATGGCTGGGAATATAACTCAATAGCAAAGAGCCTGTGGGTTCAATCCCCAGTATCACTAAATAAATAAATAAATGCATACATACCTATCCAACATGCATAAATAATAAAATATGAATAATGAATAACAAAATAAAACTTACAAAGGCTTAAACAAAAGAATAAATATGATACTGAAGGAATAATGTAAAAATATCAACTCTTCTGAGATCAATTTATGGATTCAGTACAATTCCAATCAAAATCCCAGCAGTTGTGTGTGTGTGTGTGTGTGTGTGTGTGTGTAGCTTAATAAGCTGATTCTAAAATGCAAAGGATCAAAAATAACCATGGTATTCTTGAAAAAGGACAAGGCAGATTATAAAAGCTATAATATTTTAGTGTGTATTAGAGAAGGGATAGACAAATAGAAAAACATAATGATAGAGACCTCAGAAATATTTGAGAGAATAATCCTGAAGATTAATGGGAAAGGCTAGATTTTTCAATAAATGGTGCCAAGAAAACTGAACAACTACAGAGTTAAAAATGAAATTGGATGCTTGTCACCCTGAATACATAAAAATTAACTCCTGATGGATTTTAGATCTAAATGTGAGTCAGGACAGATGGCGCATGCCTGTAATCCCAGCAGCTCAAACCCCAAACCCCCATATCCCTCAGATCTAAATGTGAAAGGCAAAACTATAACTGTATTCACATTAAAACCTGTTTTCATCAAAATATATCACAAGGATGGCAAAAAGATAAACCATAGGGTGGGAGAAGATATTTATAACACATGCACCTTTCAGAAGACTACTATCCAGAATATTAAGGAGCTCAGACAAATCAGTAAAGAAAAGATTACTCATTAGAAAAACATGTTAAGAGATTTGAACAGCACCATTTAGTCCATTTTGTGATGCTGTAATAATATCACAGACTGGGTAATTTATAAGGAAAAGAAATTTATTTCTCATAGTTCTAGAAGCTGGGAAATCCAATATCAAAGCACTGACATCTGACAGAGAGCCTTCTGCTGTGTCCTCCCATGGTGGAAGATGGACTGCAAAGAGGAAGTGTGAGCAAGAGACAGAACTCCCAGCATTAAGCCCTTTTATAGTGATAATTCATTTGTAAAGATGAAGCCCTCGTGGCCTAATCATCTGTCAAAAGTCTTACCTCTGCCAGGTACCATGGCACATGCCTATAATCCCAGCAACTTGGGAGGCTGAAGCAGGAGGATTGTGAGTTCAAAGCCAGTCTCAGCAATTTAGCAAGACATTAAGCAACTCATCGAGACCCTGTCTCTAAATAAAATATAAAAAAGGGCTGGGGATGTGGCTCAGTGGTTAAGTGCCCTGGGTTCAATCCCCAGTACCAAAAAAAAAAAAAGTAAAAGAAAAAAAGTCTTACCTCTTAACACTGTTGCACTGGTGATTTAAGTTTCCAATGTTTCCATTACCTGCCTTTTGGGGAATACATTCAAATTATAGCAAGCACTTTCCGAAAAAGAAAATCCAAATGGCTAACAAACATATGAACTGGGTTGGGGGATGGAACCCAGAGACTCCAAAGGTTAGAGAAGCTCAGTGATGGAGTGCTTGCTTAGCAGATTTAAGGCTCTGGGTTCCAATCCCAGCACTGCAAAAAGAAAAACAAAACAGGGCTGGGGTTGTGGCTCAGCAGTGGAGTGCTCACCTAGCATGTGCAAGGCACTGGGTTCAATCATCAGCACCACATAAAAATAAATAAAATAAAGATATTGTGTCCAACTACAACTAAAAAAAATTTTAAAAAAGAAAAACAAAACAAAAACATATGAACTAATGTTCAACCTCACCTACTAATCAGAAAAATACAAATCAATACCCCTATGAGATGTCATTGCTCCCTCATCATATTAGTGAAATTTTAAAGTCTGATGGTAATAGATGTTGGTGAGTACTTGGACCAATGGGAACTTGCAAACAAAATAAATATTTATATAAATAACCTCTTTGAATAACAGTTTGGTATTACAAATGGAATATTTATCCAGAATCTTGACTTCCATTTATAAACCCTGGAGAAACTTCAACACATGTGCATCAAATGGAATATGCTTTTAAAAAATTTTAGTAGGATGTCCTAACAGCCCCAGACTGGAAACAAGTTGAATGTTCACTAATGTAGAATGGGTGTATTCTACAATGAAATACTATACAACAAAAAATGTAAATGAACTAAAGTTATGTGAGGTTCATCTTTAGAAATAATGAAGGCACGAAAGAATACATCCAATATAATTTTCTCCACATAATGTTCAAAATAGAGAAAACCATATTGTTTAGGGAGCCACACTTTCGTGGTTAAATTCCAAGAAAAGTAAGGAAATTCTTTTTAGAAAAGCATTCTCTTTGGAGTAGAGATGATATTATTAGGAGGCACATTGAAAAGCAGGTGCCAAGGATGCTTGTGATATTTACTTCTTCACCTGGGTGGTAGGTAACTCAGGTGTCTCTTTTTTTAATTTAGTTGTGGATAGATACTTTTATTTTATTCATTTTTATGTGGTGCTGAGGATCAAACCCAGTGCCTCAGATGTGTCAGGCAAGTGTTCTACCACTGAACCACAACCCCAGCCCCTCAGGTGTCTTTCTGATAATTTGTTAAAATACATCTTGGATGCACTTTTCTGCATCCATGATGTATTTTGCAGTAAAAGAGTTTTAAAAAAAATGGCAATGCTTAACTGATATATTTGAAAGTTTTGTGTTTTGTAGCAATGTAAATTCCTCCTCTATCTGCCTTCTGAAATCTTCCCTTAAGTCTATCTGGGTCTCCAAGAGTCAGAGACTCCAAAGGTTAGAGAAGCTGCCATCTAGTTTACAATGGTACTTAATTAAATAGGATAATACTGTGCTGTATGGACAGCAGGAATGAGAAAATAGTCAAAGATATGCTAGTGATTTTTTTTTGGTACTGGGGATTGATCCCAGAGCCTTGCACATGCTAGGCAAGCATCCTACCACTGAGCTACCGCCTGTGCCTATCAAAGATATACTAGAAAATGATGAAGCCAAGACTAGAATCAGAAAGTGCAGGTACTTCTCTCACAGGCTGAGACTTTTTTTCCTTGTCTGCTTTCATTCAAGAGAAGTAGGCCTTTGAAAATTCTTTAAAAACTATTGGATAAGCTAGGTGTGGTGGTGCATGCTTATATGCCCAGCTACCAGGGAGGCAGAGGCAGGAGAATCATGAGTTGGAGGCCAGTCCCCGCAACACAGCGAGAGCCTGTCTCAAGCAAACAAACGAAACTACTGGATGAACTGGGTGCAGTGGTGTGCACCTACAGTCCCCGTTACTTAGGCTGAGTCAGGAGGATGGCTTGAACTCAGGAATTGGACGCCAGCCTGGGTAACAGAGTGACATCCTATCTCAAACAATCACCACCAAAGCTGAGCCCTAAGGAAGAAAGAGACAGACACATGCACATATTTCTAGTTTCAATTTAGTCTTTCTTTCCTCTGGATTCTAAAACTTGATTGACTCCTTTGCATGAGCCATACTCCAGGAAACTTCCTCAGAAAAGAGGTAAGGTCAGGAGCGGAACTAGAGTCCTTCAGTCAAAGCTGTGTGATCAACATCTGCAGAAAAGGACCTGCAGCCAATATGGACTGAGATGTGCTTTCTCTACTCTCAGCACTGTTTGCAACCTTTTCTGTTCAGTAGTTGGTGTTAAATACCCTCACCCCCATTTTTTGCTTCCCGTTCCCTTATCTTCTTTGTTTTCCAAACACCTTCATAGCTCTTTTTTTTGCTTCCAGATTCTGATATCAGATATTGATGTGTTGCCCTGGGATCATCCCAGATGATAATATAGTATCTGTTTGTCCAAATTCCCCCTCATAGTTGAGCTCTAGAAGTGTATTTTGACACCAACAATGTTTCCTGGGACTTCATGGGTCTTCAGACCTACATTCATTACTGTGTAATAGCTGTCTCAAATTATATTGCTTCCTGACAGTTAAAATACTGTGTCAGTGAAAAACACAAAAGTTCTTTGACTACTTGATTTTCAATTCTGAGGAACTGGTTCCTGGTGAAATAAACAGCTTGCTGCAGTGAGATCTAGAATATAATTTCCTCTCTAGGCCACTAACATCTGTACAAACTGCCAGAGATATGTAAATGTTTTTCTCCATTATTGTTACTTTAAAAGCATTTTTTCTTGAGATCCGGTTTTGACTATTAAGCTTTTTTTTTTTCCACCCAGAGGTAAAGGTAATCATACTAATCTGTCAGTTTATCTGTGTTCTTCCTTCCGAAGAACCGAAGAAACTTATGAAACACAGAAGGAGGAAGAAGACAAGAAGGCCCTGAGAAACGTTTATCAGATGCCTGTGCTGCAGGGTATCGACACTTGCCAAGGGTGAATGCACTTAACATGCAAATGTGGCCACAGTCTGAAAGGAAAGGAAACTGGAGGATGAAAAATAAGATATAAAAGGTGAAAATAGCTTCCTGACTTAGGAAAAAAAAATTTAGGAAGAGCAGTGTTTATATTCTGTGGGAGTTTTCTAAGAAGAGGGAAAGAAAATTCAAAGCAGGATAACCCCAGGAAGGAGGAGGGTAGTTTTGACACACAATCAACACTAGTCCACCCTTTGACTTATAATGTTAGTGTCCCCTCACTGTATTTGGTTAAACTTTGCATTTTGTGATACCTTAATTGCTCAACAGGCACTTTTCCATTGAACTGCTTTGTTTGTAGATCTCATGTAAAATGTTAGGAATGATTATTACCTGTTAAGATAAAACAATGACAGACTAGTTAGTAATTAAAAGCCTAGATTCCAGAGACAACCAGTGCCAACTCTATCACCTAGTAGTAGGATGACTTAGGGCAAATGACTCAACTATGTGTATCTCTTTCCACATCTATAAAATGTGAGTATCTACCTCCTGTGATGAATATGAGAATTATTGAATTAATACACTGAATACAGAACAGTTCCTAGCACATAGTGCTATACATGTATGTGTCAGTTTTTGTTTGGGAGCATGTGCAACTTTTCCCTTTGAATTCTCTAGGCATCTTTCTCTCTAGGATGGTTCTCATGTTAGTTCTTCTTCAAGAAGAAGACATTTAATTTTTTTTTTTTTTTTTTAGTTTTCGGCGGACACAACGTCTTTGTATGTGGTGCTAAGGATCGAACCTGAGCAGCACGCATGCCAGGCGAGCATGCTACTGCTTGAGCCACATCCCCAGCCCAGAAGTAAAGGATATTCTGAGTGCCTTTTTTGTTTTTAAGAGAGAGTGAGAGAGAGAGAGAGAGAGAATTTTAATATTTATTTATTTATTTTAGTTTTCGGCGGACACAACATCTTTGTTGGCATGTGGTGCTGAGGGTCTAACCTGGGCCGCACACATGCCAGGCGAGCGCGCTAACACTTGAGCCACTTCCCCAGCCCCAACATTTAGTTTTTAAGGGGATAGAACTTTCCTTCACAATTCTAGCATTAAGTGGTTCTCTTGTTTTAATAAAATTTTGCTGTTTCAAATTGAGACATGTGCTTATAAATCAAAAGGAATAATGCACTCAGGATAACTTCCTCCCGGCCCCCCCTTCCTTTTTTAATTTTTTCTCTTAAACTGGGGATTGAACCCAGGAGTGCTTTACAATGAGCCACCTCCCTGGCCCCTCTTTTTAAAAATTTTGAGATAGGGTCTCACTAAATTGGGAAGACTGGCCTCGAACTTGTGACCCTCCTGCCTCATCCTCCTGGGTTGCTGGGATTACAGGCATATGCCACTATACCTGGCTGATAACTTTGTATTCATTAACTTCTGTGCCTACATTTTTAAATGCTGACAAAATAAAACTGTCCAAACAATAGTCAAAGAGATTCACCCTCACTGGAATAGACACATGTTCTGGATGTGGATTTGCCCTCTTCAGCTAGCTTTGTCACCTGTGGACCCTGCCATCACATTGTGTACACTGTGGCAGTGTACACAACATTGAGTTTGGTTAAGGAACTCGCTTCATAGCAAAGGAAATGAAGTCCTGGGCTCATAAGCATGGAATTAGTGGGTCTTAGCCTATACCCCATCACCCTACTGAAAGGTGAAATGGCTTACTCAAATCTCAGTCACAGCAAGGCACAGTGGTGCATGCTTGTAATCCCAGCAGCTCAGGAGGCTGAGGCAGGAAGATCGTGAGTTCAAAGCCAGCCTCAGCAAAAGTGAGGTGCTAAGCAACTAAGTGAGACTCTGGTCTCTAAATAAAATACAAAATAGGGCTGGGGATGTGGCTCAGTGGTTGAGTGTCCCTGAGTTCAATCCCTGGCACCGCCCCCACCCCCAAAAAATCTCAGTCACAATGCCAGTTGGGAGACAAAATCCTGAAAGGAAAAGATTGTTTGACAGGATGCAAAATATTCAGAGACCAGCATGTAGTGCTACCTCCCTTAGACCCAGAATAGTCCAGTAATCAAAGGGTAGACATGGGAGTGAACCACTTTTACTATTATACATAATGACCCACTTGCAAAAGTTTTGCTTTCTATGCTGACAACTTTGAATTCTGCTGATTTGGAGATCTTCTGTTCCCAACGGAAGGGAATCTTTCTACCAAGGGACACAACAATTGTTCTTTCCTGATTTGGAAGATGAGACTACCACCTGGATGGAACTTTTGGTCTCCATATGCCACCGAACCAACAAGCAGGGGGAAAAGGTGGGGGGTATAGAAAGGGTGTTCATTCACTGACTGGCATGATAGAACCTGACTACCAAGGGAAAATTGGGTTGCTACACGAGAGATGAAGGAAGGACCATGTTTGAAACCCAGGAGATTCTCTGGAGTGCCTTAGTTCTTCCATACTCAATAGTAAAGGTTAATGGAAAACATAGCAATCCTAGAAAAGTGGGAGGTGGTCAGGCAGAACAATGAGGACTCAGATCTTTTGGGAATTAAGGTTTCAGTCACTCCACTAATAAAAACCCAGAGCAACTGAAACTATGGAATAAGTAGCTGAAGAGGGAAGTCATAACTATGACCATTAGAAACAAAGAAGCTTTGCATATTTTCTCTGTTATAGTAACACCTTTAATATACTTCCCACTTTCTTTTTTCTCCTTTGCTGTTTTATTTTATATACAAATTGTTGGGTGATAATTTTATAATTTCTTTAGATAGTGTAACATTAAGTGGTATGGTAACTGAATTTAAGGAGTCATTGATATAGCCAGTCATAGAAATAATGACTGCTGGGACTATGTATCTTGTTTTGGGAAATGGAGAGTATTTGCAAGATGAATATTATGTATCTTATTAGGTAGAAATAAAAATTTGTTTTATCCACATGTAAGAGTTGAATTGTGTATGTAAAGGTGCATGTGGAAGTTGACTAGCGTTGAACTGTGACAATTATAAATTTACTGCCAGCTCCAAATACATCTTTTTGCCTTTTTTGTGAAAATGGATCTGGGCCTTTTAAATAAATTTTCTTTGCAGTTAGAACAATAATAAACTTTGTCAGAAGAGGATGCTGGAGAGCCATTGCAGAAGGTGGGAGTAATTTTCTTCCTGGTTCAGGATGTTGTCATGGCAGTGTGTTCAAATTTTTCAGGTCTGTGGTCAGCAGCTTCACTGACAACCTCTCCTCCTTGTGTGGTTTTGTAATAAAGTGTCTCTAGTGACAACTTCCCCATGAACAGCTTTCCTTGGTAAACTCTATAGGATGGGGTCTCTGTCTAGTTCCAGAACTTTTAACACCACAGTGACTTTTCTTCCATCTAGTGACCTATGACTGTACTCTTCCCGAGTGGGACTCAGGCCTAGGGGCTGATAACTCTTGTTTAGACATTCTAATTTAGGGTTAGTAGTAGTAGTTGCTCCTCTTATCTGCTAATATATATATTTATTTATTTATTTATTTATTTATTTATTTTTTGGTGCTGGGGATTGAACCCAGGGACTTGGACATGCAAGGCAAGCACTTTACGAACTGAGCTGTATCCACAGCCCTATTCCTATATTCTTTAGAGTTCTCTTAACTAAATAAATTTTTTTTCTAGTTGTAAATGGACATGATACCTTTATTTATTTTTTACACCTTTATTTTTTATTTATTTTTATGTGGTGCTGAGGATTGAACCTAATGTCTTGCATGTGCTAGGTGAGCACTCTACCAGTGAGCCACAACCCCAGTCCCACAATACCTTTATTTTTTTATTTTTATGAGGTGTTGATAATCAAGTGCCCTCAAGTGGTTGAGTGCCCCTGAGTTCAATCCCTGACTGCCCCCCCCAAAAAAAAATTCTGTCACAGTTGTTAGTTGGGAGGGAAAACCCTGAAAGGAAAAGATTGTTTGACAGGATGCAGTATATTATTTGAATCAGGGAGTAGCATGTAGTGCTATCTCCCTAGCCCTAAGATCAATATGTTCAGTACCTCAACTTGCTAGGCAAGCGTTCTACTACTGAGCTACATCCCCAGCCTCCCTTTAACTAAATCTTGCTAGCTAAATTCCTCGTTATTTCAATCTCTTGTATATTTGACAATTCCTTAACTCCCTTAGGTTAAATTACTGTTTCCTGTCTCTAGATTGAACTTGACTGGTACACAAACCTACAATGTTAACAAATGATGGGAAATAATAAATTTTTGCTGTATTAATTTAGTGAAGTAGAAGAGGAATGGAGCTAAATCTAAATGTATTAACACAAAAATGTTTTTTTTAAAAATATTGAATAAGGAGGCCAGATGTGATGGCGCTCACTGTAATCCCAGAGGTTTGGGAGGCTGAGGCAGGAGGATCATGAATTTAAAGCCAGCCTCAGCAACTTAGCAAGACCCTAAGCAACTTAGCAAGACCTTGATCTAAATAAAATAGCAAAAAAAGGGCTAGGGATGTGGTTCAGTGGTTAAGTGCCCTGGGTTCAATCTCCAGTACAAAAAAAAACAAAACAAAAGATTTGAATAAGGGCAGGGGGTGGGGGTGGGGGTGTAAGTGAAGTTCAGTGAAAGAATGCTTGCTCAGCATGCAGGAGGCCCTAGGTTTGACCCCAGCAGTGCAAAAACAAAAAATGAAAAAACTGGTTAAAAAAAGAAAGTTGCAAAAGGTACACATGACACCTTTAATGGAAAAATTAAATGATTAAAAACTTGGGATGTGAAGGATATCCACTGATTTCAGAGTAGTATTTTTTTTTTCTTGGAGAATGGAGGGAAAATGGTAATAGAGTAGAATTATAAGAGGCTTTAAACATCTTACAATTTTTTTTAAAATCTAAAGTAAACAAAAAAACCCTAAGAATGAAGTGAAAAGGAAATGTAAAAGCACATAATCAGCAACTGAAGCAACTCTGCAGAAAAAAAAAAAAATAGCTTAAGTTGCATTTGAACATCCTTTCTTCTAGAAAGAC